AATGGACATGGCACTGCATGTAATTTTGTGCTAGTGACTTTTCTTTTTGTTGTGTTAGTGACCTCAGTGCTTGTCAAGACTCTCTTCTGCTCTGTGTAGGTTTGTGAAAAACCTAGATTTCGAAAATGAATAAAGATGCCCAGATGAGAGCAACCATTAACCAAAAACTAATAGAAACAGGAGAGCGGGAACGGTAAGTAGGCTTCCCACTCCATGCCAGTAAGAGGCTTTAAATATTATCAAACATGAGCTATACCTAGAAGTAGAGATTAAGTAAACTTGACTCTAAATTCTTCAAATGCCTGCATGTGAAAGTCTTATGTATTATATAAAGCTATATTTAAAAAAAAAATTGTGTTTTGAACAGTTTTATTTTAGTTTTACACTTGAAGAGACATGCTGGGAAAATAAAGGACAGAGTGGTTGGCTAATGAACTCTTGGAAAGCTCTTAGTTCATATAAAAATCACCATTACATGCAATTTGCTGCAGTTAAATCTTGTTATTTCCTGATAAAGAGAATGCAAGAAAACTTTCCTTTTTGCTTTTAAGTTCTTGTGTTCCTTTTCTCTTGTTAGGAAAAGAAATACACAGTGGAACACATAAAACAACACTTGTGCAAGTCATTGTAGAGATCCTAATAAAGGCAAACAAGTAAATTATGCAGTGTAGCGTGGTCCATAGTTTTTGGCCTTTTGTTGTCTCTTCAGTCTGTTCTGTTTGCATTGTATTTACATAACATTTTCCCCCTCATCATTTCACTATATTTCTAACACTATGCACCAAAAGTTCTACTTCCTTCATTTTTCAAGGCCTCTATGAGAAGGAGTCTTCTTCCTAGGTCATCACATAGCCCTGTACCTACTGTAACCTTTTGTAGACTGACATGGTGTCTATCCTTGCCTTCTTTCCTGGTTGTGACTATCCCCTTGGAGATTGCACAGAGCTTCAGCAAAGCCAGCAATTTCTTGAAACGATATTGGGACCTATTTTATTCTGCTTTAAGAGTAAGAAGACTTTTGACAGGATGTCAAAATCTGTATTATAAATGGGCTTTATCAGAGCTGTACTATGATCAGAGATGGAGCACTCGGATTTCTTGAATTAAGAAATATCTGGCAGCAGTGAATTTCACCTGTATTGTTACTCTGCTTTTTGCCATCATCTCATCTGCGCTCTACACAATTCACTGAGTAAAAGGGATTAAACCTACACAGTTCAGCCTCCTGCTGCAATCCTTTCATTCATAGAAACAGGATTTTGCTAGAATTATTTAGGATGGTACAAGATAAGTAGGCTCATTAGCTTATCATATCTTGCTTTCCTTTTCCTTTCTTCTATTTTTCAGTAGTAATTTTCACTTTTTTAGCTAGCTTTCAATATTCTCTTTTCATATATGGAGTAGATGTATCATTGTGGCAGATTGTTGTGTGTCTTCTGTTTAATGCCCAAATCCTTGTTGCTTATGCTTATAATTGCTGACCACGCTTAGGAAGATAAGATATATGATCCCTTCGTCTTTACCCAACACGAGGTAAAGTGTAACTGGGAAGAGAAACCTGCAGTTGAAGACAGTAGTCCAGAATTTTCCTTTCAGAAGGGAGTGGGAAAGGTTTTGTTTATTTTGAAGGCCCAGTTTCAGGTGAAATACTCTAAATTTGAAAGTTAGCATACATTTGCTAATAGCATAGACTTGGGCAGTTCAAGTGAGTTAAGAGCTTCTGCCTATTTTCTGTGGCTGCAGCATCAACACTGCCTGAAGAAGTACTGTGAATTAGCTCCTGAGCCACCAACTCCTCATAGTCCAACATGGTAAACTGAAATTGGTACTCATCCAGGTTAGGATTCACATGCTGTTTAGCCATTCTGCTGCTGGTCTGGGAGTTCTGCTATGAGTAGTAATTGTAGGCTTAACTTTCCCACTGAAGCATATTTAAGCTGTCAGGAATGTTTGCTCTTCTTAACAATTTTGTATATTGTCTTAACAGCCTTAAAGAGTTGCTGAGAGCCAAATTAATTGAATGCGGCTGGAAGGATCAGTTGAAGGCACATTGCAAAGGTAACAGTGGTTGAATAACTAATACCTTTTGTAATCAACTGAGGTGAGGTTCTGGCCAAATAAAAGTCTCAGATGAAGGCTTTACTGCCGAACAATGAACTTACTTTCCTCTTGCCCAAGTCTCCTGTATCCCTGGCAATTGGTTTTGCATGCAAGAAAGCATCTTGCCATCTTGGCAAGAAAAATCTTGAAACTTCTTCTCTGATTTGAACCTTATTAAGCTTCTGAGAAAAGTATTGGAATTGATTCCCTAAATATTCATGATCATACAGCTTTTTATTTTGAGAGAGATTACTTCTTTACCACAGGAGAATAAAAAACAAGATAAAGGAAAACAGAGTAAATACAGTGGCATGCAAGAAACTTAAGAGAACTTTGTTGTCCGCATATGGGAGAGAAAGAAATGCGTTCATACTCTTTCTGAATACAATTCTTGAAAATAAGATCATCTACTTAGATGAGCAAAAGCAAGCAAATGAACCTCTAAATACCCAAATATTTAGTTTTGAGTGAAGTATTTAACATTACTACAATTTACTGACTTGTAAATTGTATGAAAATTATTTATAAATAGTATTTATGCATCCAGGAATATTACTACATGATGAAATTTCCTTAAAGCAAATAATAAATCCCTTTAGCTTTTGCTTTAATTCTGATTTGGTCTATTGTGCCTGGTAACTCAATATTCCATTACAAAGTTTTTCTTTTCATAGGGCTGAGTGTGTTAAATTGTTTTATTAGGTAGCTTTGCAGAGAAGGCTGAACTGATTCATGCTTGCAGTTGTCTGCCTGATGCCACTGCCAGAGATTACCCATTTCAATAGTACAGATAGCAAAAGGGATGTTTGTCTGCCCTCTCAACTATATGCTTTACACTCTGCTATATATTAGTACTTTGAACTGTAACTGCAGCTGCTGAGAATGCAAATGTAAGTTCATTTGTCCCTGTTAAGGGCATAATAACATCCAAAAGAAGGGACAGAGAGGGATTTTGGGGGTTTGGGTTTTTTTTGTTGTTGTTCTGTTGATGTAGAGTTTTGGGGTTTTTTGGTAGCTTGTTCTAGAGCCTCTTGCCATTATGGATTAGGGCCAAGAACTGAGCTGTCTGGGATTAATTTCTAAAGGGAATTTCAGCCAAGAAAAACAGTTTACAAATAGTTCATGTGATGTAAGTTCAGAAAACATACTTAGGGTCTTGGGGACAATCAATCCTATGTACTGACATACAGTTAAAAACATGTTTAGACAAAATATTTTAGGTTTATGCTACTGAATCGAGGTTTCTTCTCAGCATTGACTTCTGCATTTTTCAGTAGTCTTCAAGGCATAAGTAGACAATTGTTTAAATACTGGTATGCATTAGTCATACAGTATATCTTAATCATAGCTTTTATTTGCTGTGATGTATACCTTTCTTTCAGATACGCTTTTTTACTTTGCTGAAATATATAGAGAGATGTTGTTTAAATCAGTTAGGAAGAGTAGTAAGTATTTACTGTCTCTGTGCTCTCCCTTGTACGTTCTGAAGTCTTTTTCCGATTGCATCTCTTTCTCACTATTATGTAAATAATGTGATTGAAGAGGTAAGCAGACCAACTTGTGAACTGCTACAACACTCCTGTAATATGCACATCTTGTAATGCTCAAATAAGCTTAAACTTTGTCACATTTGATTTTAAAATACGAGCAGATCAAGATGTATCAGTAGTGACAAGTTCCCATCCTTAAACCTATGGTACAAATGAGAGACTAAATGCACTTTACAAAGCACCAGATACTGAGTTAATAACCTACATTTAGGTCACATGCTACTTCATATTCTCTGATGACCTATGCATGCAGGTTTTGTCTCCTAATCATTGGCACAGGTTTTGTCTTCTAATGAATGGATTAAAAGACTTAAAATGTCGGTCTTGATCTTCCCTAGATGTCATTAAAGAAAAAGGATTAGAGCATGTTACTGTTGATGATTTGGTGGCAGAGATCACTCCCAAAGGCAGAGGTAAGAAAATACAAACATGGATGTGGTAGTGTATCAAAAAACATACCTACCTGTATTTCATTAGTATTTTGAAAACAGCATTATGAACTTGCCTGTGTTGGATTCAAGAAAAAATGTTAATAGCTTGATATTAACTACAAATAAAACATGAACATGTATTGTATAACAGCCATTCAAAATCTGTAATGAGCTGTGTGTGTAAACTGCTTTTGCAGGTTACATTATGTAGTCATGAGTCTCTGTTCATCTTTGTAATTGACTTAATGGTCCCAAGAAAACTTGGGGTATGCAGCAGAGATGTTTTAAAATTCCAATTCTTTTTAAGATGGAAAACCTGAACAAATAGTGCCAGTGTAATGGGAAGTGGGAAGGACATAGCATACAGGTACAGAAAAATGGAATCACTTAAGGAAATACTCCAGTCTTCTTTATATAGTTCTTCTTGGACTCTCTAATAGGCTTTAGTGTTAGTGGGAGAAACTTCATTAAGTCTTAAATAAAAATAGAGCTTCAAAATAACTTGCTGAAGACCCTTACTCTGAGGTCATGGCTGAGACTATTTTTTTTTTCTTAAATTTGTGAAGAAAAAAGGTAGGATAATCAAACTAATTTCTGGTGATTATGTCCTGTTTTGTTAAGTAATCTTTCCCCTCAGACTTTCCAATTTTCTTGACTATGGCTAGAGAAAAAACTACCAATAACAGCAGTGTTCTCAACAGACTTCAATTTTAGCCTATTTTTAAATGGGAAAAATATAGATGTGCTATATGAAAATCAAGTAGCTTCAGTTACTTTAGGTATTAACAGAATTGCAAGAACAAAGAATAGAAGAAGCTGTTGTAAAAGGCTGGTATTACCATATTTTCCATTTTGTCTTTTTTACTTTGTGTTTCAGCCTTGGTACCAGACAGTGTGAAGAAGGAACTCTTACAAAGAATAAGAACCTTCCTTGCCCAGCATGCCAGTCTTTAACTTTGACATTCGTCTGGGATACTGTGTTTCTGTATTATGTCAGTCATGTCAGGATTGGAATGCAGTTTACATACTTAAGGATGGAAAATCATTATTTTTTTTGTATGAGTTGAAGTTTCTTTGCACTGCATCGATTTCTTAAACTTGGTGTTATTTTAATAAAAAATTTTGTGGACTTGTGGTTCTAAGGCTCTTCTCTCTATCAGTACATTGTAATATGGTGTCACCTCTTCCAGTATTTATTAATTCATAATTTTATACAGTTGTGCAAACTTGCTCAGATTTTCAAAAAAGAAGTGCAATTAACAAGTATGTTAACTAGAAATGCAGAAGGGGCAAAAAAGTCTGTGGAAAATGGGATATGGCATGCTACGGAGCGTACCCTTTCTAATTTTCCCCAGGTAAGTAGCTGGACAACATGAAAAAGTTAGACTACATGAAAGAGTTGGTGACATTCCTCTCAGTGGTACTTTACTTGTGCTGCAAATATGCACTCGCTAAGTTGTAAGAGGTTGAATTCTTCAAACAAAAAAAGGCAATCATTTCTTTCATCAGTAATTCTCTCTTCACATTAATGAAAAAGAGTCACTATTCTGATCCATGACAACTACTGTTTTCTAGCTTTGCCCATATTACTGGTATTTTTTAATTATGTGGATCTTTGGGGCCTTTTGAAGTTTAAGCATAATACAGTAAATTGCCAACATAGGTCTCTTAAGATGATACATTTTAAATTCTTGTATCTGGAACTACAACATCAGCCAGGTCTATAAACAGCTGCAAAAGTAAAGTTGATGGATAGAGAGGATCAGGAAAGGGGCTTTGAAGTGAGAACGTTTTAATTTTTGCCAGTTTCAGTTTGAGGTGTCTAACAGATTATGAAGTGCAGGAAAAGCATAAGCAGAAACTGAACAATTAGATACTGTTGTGACTTGGCTACTGCGAAAAATGAATTGACTGAACATAAACCCAATACGGTGCAAGGAGTCATGCACTTCACTTGTAAGACAGAACCAACAATATACTGATACAACAAAGTTCAATGGTAAATGCAGCAGTGGTTTAACAAGATTCGATGGCAAGGTACACTTGGTTATTTACTGCATAGAGGACAGAGTCAGACAAAACTGTCAGGGAGACCCTCCCGTTGAGTCATGATGTTCAAAGAGGGCCCCCCTGCGTTCTAAACTCCTTCTCAGAAAGGAGTTTAGGTGCAGCTGGATCCACTCCTAGTGCCAGACTTGGTCAACGGTTTATATCTGAAGAATTATATATGCGCAATCAATCCTTTATATCACTTAGCTAAGATTTCAAAGTTTAGCATGCTATTTATCACTTACTGAGAACCTGTTGTAGCAAGGAATCTCTCAACCTCAAGGAGAGATCCTGGCGTGCAGCCCACTGCCGTGCAGGAGAGCTCAATAGGCGCTGGGCTGTCCACTAATTACGGAGTAAGATGATTGAGTTATAGTCATATTTGCATACCAGTGAGGTGTCTGGGCCACCAATCCAGACAGCCCATGGCTACCATGTTGCCATCTGTCCCCCAAAGTCCAGAGCAAACTGGATGCAGCCATCACAACCCCCACGGGTGGTTATGGCTTAAGTCGCGGGGGAGCACACCGCCGAACCTAATTAGAAGAATACTCTAAAAACTGTCACTTCGAGCGGAGCGCAGAAAGTCGCGCCTGCTGCAGTGCATTTGTGTCGGCCCCCCCGCACCGCTGGGCGCTCTCACCCGAGGAGCCGCTCGGGGGC